GTCGTCAAGTGTAAGGACCGCGATATGGCTTATTTCTGTAGCTACTGTCACATAAACAAAACAAAAAGAAAAGGGAGTGTCACGGCGCGAATTGTGCTCCTACCCTGAAAAAATCTTAGTATCTTTTACGCGTTATTACCCTAATAGCACACATAAATTCAATCCGAAACAACCACTACTGCTAATTATTATTTTCCTTACATTCGCTAAATTTTATTGTCGCCAATTTCAATGCGCGTATTCTTTGTGTTCTGGAATATATGCAAGTTTATTATGCATATTGCAAGAACAAAAACTTGACGCTGTTACCAATTTCCTTTGATCGAACTTGACGTTTCTGTTAGTCGCAATCCCTTACCGTAATCAGATTTTACTAACGAAGCGATTTAGATGTAGTTTAGCGCAGCATGAAGATTTGTGTTCAACACATTTTAAGCCAGCCTATAACCCTACAATATATTCTCAATTCAACACAATTTTTACCTTCAATAATAAGGGAGATAGAATGTTTCCTTTTCCGGCCATCTTGGCGTTGTGTAGTGGATGCTTCACCACGCATAATAGGGTTCCTGGTGGAATTTGGTATCGGACATGGAAGTGTTCTATTTCGAACTAAAAAAAAATAAAAAAACGATTTTTAGATTGGAACTATACGGATATCAACTGCTTCAATGGACTTCAACAAATCTCTGAGAACAATCAGTTCCAGTTCCAATCAGTTTAACGTCGATAGTGTGTAAACTTATGGAAAAGCTTTTAGTTAAAGCGATTTTAGATTATGTGCTAAAGCACGGTCTAATTCCTGACACACAGCATGGTTTCCTGCCAGGTCGTTCTACGATAACGAACCTACTATCTTCGAGTAACCAGTGGACCAAACTTAGCGATTCTGGAGCCTCTATTGATATCATTTATTTAGATTTCAGTAAGGCGTTCGACAGGGTCTCTCACGAATTATTGTTAAGTACATAAGTTCAGTAAGTTCATTTGTAGTCAAAGCCGGTTGTACGTGGTATCCCTCAAGGCTCTGTCCTTGGACCTTTTTTATTTATCTTGTATACGTCGGACTTACTTTTGAACTTGAAATGCAGCCATGTGGCCTATGCTGACGATATCAAAATATTTGGTAACTCCTTGGAAGCGGAAAATAAAATCCAAGTCGCCTTAAATGCTGTAGTTGACTGGTGCAACTCGTGGGACTTGCCTTTGAACGGGGGAAAATGTGTGGTGCTGCGAATAGGACAACATAATCCAAAATTTTCTTACTGCTTGGATAATATACTGATCAATGAAGTTCAATACCAAAACGATTTAGGAGTCACAATAAATAATAAATTAACTTGGGACGAGCAATGTGCTAAAGTTTTTAAAAAGTCTTTTGCCACGTTATGTATGTTGAGGAAAGTATTTCTTAATCCGTCGCCAGAACTATGTGCAAAGCTGTTTGTGACGTATATTACACCCCATTTGGAGTATGCTGTCTCAGTTTGGAGACCATATTTGGCTAAAGATATTAAGTTGTTAGAGCGAGTTATGCACGCAGTTTCCCGATGGCCTAAACATTTTAACTTAATTTCGTACAGTGACAGATTAAGTATACTGAAGTTGCCTGAACTATGTCTCAGACAAGATAGAGCGGACTTGATTCAGATTTACCGACTAACTCACGACCTATTTCCCGCTAACAAATTAGACTTCCTGAAATTTCGTGAAGATACCCGCTTACGCGGACACTAGATTGCAAAAGGAACCCTTCAGAACTACGCAAAGGCAAAAATTTTTAACTAACCGCATGTTCGACCAGTGGAATGCACTAGACGAACACATCGTAAATTCAATAAATGTGTACCAATTTAAGAATCGTCTTGATAACAAGAATTTAGAAAGGATTAATATTGTTAACTAATTGTACGTTCGTAACCGATAGAAATTAGCTTAAACAAAATAGCATAAATAGGCTTGCCTCATGCTATTATCATCTAAATATAATAATAATAATAATAATAATAATAACAGTTTACCGAGATATGCCAGAAAGCAGCGAAGGTATGTCAACATTGTATCTTCCGAGACCGTCCTACACCTACAATTTCGACCATTTTTTTTCAATTTTTCGAGAAAAAAACAGTTGTTTATAAAATACTCTAAATATCGCCTTGTATTTGAGGTGATTTATCCTGTTCAATTAAGGTTACGTTTAAAAAAAATTAGGACATCTTTGGGTGATATAATTTTTAAACTGCGTAACATACATTTCCAATGTTGTTCTTTATGGTGTTTTAAAACAATAAAAATTTGTAGATATTTGTTTTTATAGAGTACCAAAATAAAAGTTACACTGCCTCGCCTGTAAACATTGAGAATGAGTTACTAATTTTTTTTAAAAATTAATGCAACTGTCCACTCGTTCACAATGGTCATGAATCTCTAGGATCATTTGTATTTACTTGTGGTTGTTATAATATAAAAGACCGAAAAACCAAAAATTGGTGGAACAAAAATATGCCCAAAGACCGATCTAAGGTTTTCTCAGATTAAAAAATTGGCAATCATGTATGGATAATTGGCTTGGAGGTATGACAAAATATCAATGGAAATCTTACGAACAGCCACGTTCATACATTGTTGAAAACTCAAGTAGGGAAATCGAATGGCATCTGATTGGTGCTCCTTCCTACATGAAAATTTAGAGTCCAAAATCAGAATGTTCACAGAGAAAGTTTTTACACAATGTCATTATAAAAGACTCCGATATAACTGTAATATATTCCCCATATTATTCAAATTCTGTATCAACAAATAACACAAATATCAAATAACAATTAACAATAATTCTCTATAACTACAAAATATTCTAAACCTGGCATATTTTTTTTTAAAATTCTGAATTGCTATACAAACTTTCAGTGATATTATGGTTGGAACAAATAAAATCACAAATCATCTATAACATACCACCAAACTACCGGCCAAATATATTACATTGCTATCTACACAAAATTACTAACATTCAACATTAAAATAAGATAAATTGATATTCTACAATAGAAGAGTAATTTTAATTTCATAAATTCGGTGCCTCGCCAGGAAGTCGTTGATAAATGATTTTCATCCTTATGCACGATTTCTAGGTAGGTAACCGCTGTATTTCGTATTGATTTCCATATTATTCTTAATGCGATGCAATTCATTTTACGCGTCCCTTGTCACGATGATTTACTAACATATAGTAAATAGGATAGGAAGCCTTTTTGAATACAGTGAAAAGTAATAACAGACATTAGTTTCAATTTACAGTATCACATAGAAACTGCAGGATTATGTCATGCAATAGGTAAACCTACGTAAACTGATTACCCAGCAATTTACGTGTTACGTTAATGGTATTGTAAAATTATTTGTAAATACAACGAAACTAGTTCACATTTTAAAGATTATGTAAGGAACCGCGTGACACGTTCAAGCATGAATAGGTGCCTGAAATTATCACTTTCTAAATTGGAAACCGTCCAAGTAAACGTCAGCCATAAAACGTGTTTTGGCGCTTTTTTCTCTTTTATACCCTTAAATTATAAACCACGCTTGGAGAAACTGCATAGAACAGCTCTATTGAAGTGTAAAGTTGTAACTCGACATTTTAACTAATTTAAAATTTTGATGAAAATATGAAAATGATTGCGAACTTGGTCAAATCGATGAAATTTCATTATTTTCAATCATTACTGTAATGCTTGAAAACCTGGAAATTAAAGCAGACGAGAAACTACCTGGTTCCTTACCGGACTATTTTAGTGGTAGATCATCCTTGTCTTCTATGGGAGGTGGAAGAGGTCCCAGAAGACTCTAGATCGTCGTCTTCAAGAGTTGAGCTGTTGAGCCTCTGCCAATATACACACGCTGCAGAGGAGTTAAGCGTTACATTTTGTTTACCACATTTACCATTACCGCGGCGAAAATATTGCAACCCTTGTAACATGAAACTAATTCCTGCGTACCCTTGGACAATTTAATACTTTGGCTACTTATAAGGGAATTATTACACGTTTAAAAATCCATCCAGACACTTATAGTATACATAGAAACGACGGGCTTCTTCAAAACTTCACGTTCATAGTGGATAATGATAATTATTTGTAGATATAAATTACATATTCTTGACGAAGGGACCATAATTAATCGATAAAACCAACAAAATTTACCAAGATCACCAGAACCAAAATGACGGACAAGTATGTCTGTATAAATGCAGCGCCTATTAGTCAATGTCGTGTATCGATTTCAGGAAGTGCTTTCCGACTACATCTTTACGCCTTCAAGGAAACGTACAGTCTAAATGTGAAGCTTCAACTGTAAAACGTAAAACTCCGTTTTTCACCGTTCCCGTTCCCGTAGAAATTTTAGCAAGTGTTTAAATCAGAAACATCCGCGGACCTACGTCTAATCATTCCCCAAAGTTTCATTGCAATCGGGTGAAATTTTAAGGAAAGCATAAAAGACATCAGTTTTTTAGTAGCGCTTTTCTAGTACTTTCGTGCACAATGCAATATTATGATTAATTTTTAACATGTGAATAGGTATGTCGCTGATATTGAAGAAGAGTCTTACGACTTTGCTCATCTATATGGGCCAATTCTTACCCTCATTCCATTTTGATCAGTTTTCAGAATCTGTTTTTTTTACACCTTCCATGTTTTGCAAGGATCACATTTTCCTTCGATCAACCAATTAACATAATTATCAACGTATGTTACTTTAAAATTATGTAAGCCATTCCCATGCCAATTTTGTCTGCTTTCAATACCGCTATTGATTCACACAAAAGCAATGGGAATTCTAAGCGGCTCTTACGAAATCATTTTAACTTTTTGCAGTTGTGTCATGGTCCATATTTAATGGAGCTGACAATCACTCAAAATTATTTCTAGCTCTTTGTTTCTAAAAAACACTACTTTTATGACGATGTAGGTAGCTATTTACAATATATACTCCGTTTCTCACATACTGACAGCAGTTTCACCATGAGGTGCATCATTGTAGCCATCCTTCTTTGTGCATGCGTGCAATACTCCACACAGCAGAACGTAAGTTTTTCACTTGCAATTAAACATCCTTCATAATTCATACTATTTTAGTTATTGGAGTTAGTTAAATTCAAAAATGAGTGCGTATCCGAATACAACATTACCTCCAGCATGATCAAGTCCGTTGTGAAGGAACTAATAAACGCCGATTTTACAAACCTAAACCAACTTAAAGATTTCCCAATTTGTTTAATGACGAAAATTGGTCTTATTGACAAAGATGGGAATGTAAATCCGAATGCATTAAAGAAGTACGTGGGTGTGATACCGAAGGGAAAAGAAATTTTGGAGGTTGCAAATGAATGTAAAGACCGCAGAGGCGAGAATGTCGCGGATACGATTTATGAAGTTGGCCTCTGTGTAATCCAAGGGGCTATTAAAAAAATGCCATTTGGTAACATAATTTCCTCTTTTCTTCAGATAAATTAAGGTGGTGATGATGTGAATTCTTTTGTCTTTTCTACTAGTTACCACAGGGAACAGATTCAATGATGTTAGTACTCATTGAAAGTTTCCTATGGAAATATTTCTGTTAATATATCTATTCCGTTTAGAAATTGTAGTAGTTTTAAATGTTAATAATTAGGGCTCCTTGTCTATTAGATGGAGATGTCTGTAAAATGTTGGCCTGGGTTAATCTCCTTTCAAAATCAGTACCTACTTTATTGGGTACAACGTCGGCAACATTAAGCCTTAGTGCAAGACAACCATTTTGATTTATGAGATCACAGCGTATCATTGGAAAATGATGAGTGAAAATCGTTTTCGTCCTAAATCAACCTCTATTACGACGGGAACTGTAACGCCTTTAAGGGTCGCTGACAGTCTTGTGTCCGTACACAGAATGAACCGGCCCTATAAGCGAGTTACCTCGTGGAAGGGCGCAGGCTTACGTAAACAAACGTCTCCATACCGAATATGATGTATTATTTATCTAAGTAAAGGCAAAGAAATAAAAAAAAATGGTACAACCGGATTTTTTCTATTACCAAGAACGAAATTCTGAAAACTGCTGAAACAAATTTAGCAAATAGCCCTGGAATAATATGGAACTTGGGAAAAAACGAGCTTGGCATTCAACCCCGATTGAATGAAAAGGGCAGAAAGTATCCTGCATCTTCATCCACATAAAGTAATAATCGGCCCTATGCTGTATCACTATCGTTAAGAATAACGATATCGTTATGCGGCGTTACCATAATTTTTTAAAAATCGGTATGCTGTATCACTCATAAAAAGAGTGGGATAACGACTATCGTAATTCTCTATCGTTATTTTGCTAACATAACCAGAGAAAGTTAACGGCAGGGTACATGCTATCCGTTTGGCGCGTAACGGTCCTGTCATCGATTCGTTCGGAGTTTAAGCGGATGTTAAAGAGAAAGAAAATGAATAATTGCAAGGATTTTTGCAAGTAGTTTTGTTCGGGCAATTGGAAAATGTAATAGGGAGGTGAGTTCTGTGCCTTTTAATACTCGTAGATTATGTTTTTATTGAGACATGAGGAAAACATCCAACGAAGAATTTTACGAGACAACAGTGCAAAAATGCAGAGGCAGACCCACTTTCACCACAGGGAAGATACACTACACAACACATTTTAGTCAAGAATGTAATAGAACGCTGTTTTGGAGTGTTGAAGCAAAGGTTTAGATGCCTCTTGAAGTACAGAGTTCTTCATTACTCCCCTGACAGATTTGTGAAAATTGTGTTGTGCTGTGCAATACTCCATAATATTGCGATACAGGAGAACTTACCACCACTCGAGGATAATGAAGGTGATGTAGATATACCTCCACAGAATATGAGAGGAAATGAAGGTATTTGTACCTAATCATCAAAAAAAAACAAACTGTTGTATGGCCTCTTATTATTCTCTTCGACATTCGCCATGTCGTGAAAAACCAACTAGGTAGGTACATTTACAATTAATAATAATAATTTTAAAGAAACGTCTGCATTTCCAAATCTGGCGGGTATTTGTTTTAAGATTAAGCGCCTTCTTATATTTGATCGCTGTGGTATTTCACTCTTACACGCACTGCCGTTGCGCAGCGTTCCTTGTTTTCTAGAATGCGACACTTTTTTCCGAAATAGCCACTGCGAGATACCGGACAACGTAACGATACCGTTAAAATATTGATACAGCATATCGCGTTTATCGATAGTCGTTGTGGTCATCATAACCTTTGATCGTTAAACTGCGATAACGATTGATCGTATAGAATAACGAGAGTGATACAGCATAGGGTTGAATGTTGAATTAATGGATCCATAATGCCTAACATAATAATATCTTTGTTGGTTTAAAGTTTAAACATCACCCCAAATCAACAATAAAGAAGAAACAATGGTAGTACTTACTACTAAATTGCGCCCAATTGCAGAGTAACCCGCATAATTCGTCTACATTAAGAAAGTCATCTAGAAGATGTGAAAAATTATGCTTTGATACAAAAACATTCCTTAATAACCAATTATATAGAATTAAAGCTGCTACGTAAGGAGTATCTGGTCTGGCCGTTAATTGCGATATTCTGGCGCACAAGGAACTAAACAAAGCTCCCGCAATTAAAACAAAAAGTGTAACGAAAATGTTGAAATAGTGCTAGAGTTGTGCTAAATTGTGCTGAGTCAATTTTAATTTGTGCTGATCTGGAAAATCAGTTTTCCTCGAATTGAAACGCGGTAGCAAATTTGACTCAGTCCCTCCGTTTTATTAAGGCACAAATGCCACTAGTACTTTTATGGTAGATGCATATTGGATTGTGTCGTTCAAATAATCGAAAATAGTTTTACGGCACCAGTTCTCCCATTCAAATTTCATTTCTGTTTACTTTTTGGCATGACTTATTTACTCAACCCTCGGTGGTTATTTCAATTTCAAATCGTTGCATGCCATAAAATGTTAACCGAATAGCACTTACGTCAATCCATTTTTTTAATGGCTATTTCTCGACTATATAAAAAATATCAATTGAAAATATGCAACTGCAACTTTAAAATTGATTAATGCTTTTTCCCTATGATTGCATTACCATTGTGCTGTTACTACAATGAAAATGACTATGTTTTTCTGAGGAAATTGCCTTTTTAAGGCATGCATAGATGTATATAAACGCAATGCAACCAGTCTGCGGGAAAATTTATGATGAAGTACATTGTCGTACTCCTCCTCTGTGCCAGTGTGCAGAACTCCTCACAAAATGTAAGCTTAACATTTTGTAAAAATGTCATAATCATACAATTTTAGATGTTTGAGTTGCTCAAATATAAAAATGAATGTTCATCCGAAAGCGGTATTGGTAAAGCAATGAAGTCAATGCTGAAAGAAATCATGGCCGGTGAATTTCCCAGCTTTACTCAGGTTACTGGTTTTCCATTGTGCATGATGACGAAGATTGGTTTTATGGACAAAGATGGTAATGTAAATCCGGACGCTTTAAAGAAGTACGTCGGTTTGATACCGAATGGCAATGACATTTTGGCGGTTGTAAGTGGCTGTAAAGATGCCAAAGGCACTCTGCCCGAGAAGGCTTATGAAATCTGTCAGTGTGTTTTCCAAGGGGCCTTTAAAAAAGTGATGGGTACATAATTTAATAGGGATAACCTTTATGTTATGGACGAATAAACGCTACTGTTGTCCTTTATATTCATTTTAGTGAACCTAAATGATTACTCGACATGTGTTCCTACAAAGAATGAATCCGCTCTTCAATCGACATTTTTGGGACAGATTGATTGAATCGTAAAACTAACTGTACAGGGTGGTTAAAATTCGTGGATCACCATTGGGATCTCCATAACGGTGAGGGATACAGTGTAAGTTAAATTGGGGCAAAGCTGTCCCTTTTGAAACTAAAAAACGCATTTGAAATTTTTGAAAATAACTGAGATATCTCCGAAAATTGAATATATCAAATTTCGTTTCCATTTTCCCCAGTTTAAATGATCGGAAATGGACGGTTCCGTTAATACCTTCTAGGAACTGCACTTCCTATCGGATTCTGAATCCGAATCCGAATTTCCATAACACGCTAGTTGTAGAAGCTGCAGGTTACTACTTTCTTATTTTTTAAGGGCGCCATATTTGATTTTTACGGAATGCGCTAGAAGAAAATTTTGTTTGAATGCATCGCAATCATTGCCATATCGATTCCGCCAAGATTTAGTTACTTGCGAATGTTTTGTTGAGAAAATAATGTAAACCTGCAACGTGAAAAAGTTCGCTTTTGGCTAAATGTGGTCTGTGTAAAGTTTTCTCTGTCTTGTCAAAAAAGTGTATCGAAGATATTCCAAATCTACATGCAAGTATTTAAACTCAGTGCTACCATTGACTAATTAGTCATTGATGCTACTGGTAGATGATTAAACCTAATCTTTTTAACACGTAAATTATGAACAATAAAATAAGCAAAATACAAAATGATTATTTAAACAAAATTAAACATCAAACAACACTGACTTCGAATTCAAATAATGTAATCGAAAAATTGTGTTCAATCTCAAGTTGGCGTGCACATTTAAGTGTTAAAAATTGAGATTAGAATTATACAGGTAACTATGAACAACCAACACATTTTTATTCACATAAAAAGGTTTCCTTAACCTACTTTTGAAATGTATAGCTTTTGTGAATCACGATGAATAATAGGTAAACATTAGTTATTCATGAATTGTTCATGATCAAATTACAGTCGGAGATTTTAGCGAAATCGCAAATAATACTCACAATCGTATAGTAATTTGTGCCGCTTTGGAAGTCGGCTCACGCAAATACAAGCTAAATTTAATATTTAAAGAAGTTTAAGCTCAACTGCTCTACACTCGCCTCTTTCCACGAGAACCGCCGTTATCGGATTTATGTTATTACTTTGAACAGAAACTGTAAGCATATATGTGGAATAGTATGGATCTTTTTGGGGGCTGCCATTATTTTCCAGATCGTATCAGGAGAAAACGCACGCAATCAAAGACTTAGCTTCAATCACAAACAAATCAAACTAGAGGATTCAGGCGTAAAAGCTGCTCAACGTGTACCAGCAATTTGCTGTACAATCAAATTCATTCGTTGAAGACAATCGTTATCTCGTATTCGCTAATAAACGTTGCTTTAGTCTCAAAGGAGTGAAAATTGTATTTGATTTGCTTTATGGTCCATTGGACAATGGTTTTCAATAACTTCGTATGCATTTACATGTACAGAACATCGATATTGTTTGTATCTATAAAAATGTTGCAAAAACTAGATAGGTGGTAGTTTGTTTTTTAGAGCTACAAGGTTGACACAAGAATAAATTGTTATATATCCAGAAGTATTTTACCAAATTTAACAATATGAAGCTGACACAGATCATTTCAGCAAAAGCCGCATCAAAGTTCCTTCCTAGTGACGACGGGATTCGAATTTCCTATTTCGGAAAAGTGCGATTTCGCAAAGAAATACACATATCTGTTATACCTCTTGACGGATACTAAATTGAAATATAAGAAAAATATCTTTTTAAGTACCAGCACATGACTGAACAGCATAGAAGGTGGCCGGAAGTTGTTTTTTATGCTATGATTGGAAATTTCGAGTGGAATTACCTCGGGAATTACTTCTAGTACAAAATGGATGTTTGGAAAGAAACCAAACTTTCGAGTCAACAAAATGAATGTTGAGTATGAAGCTAAAAGAAAATGAGATCACTCAAAATACCTAATGCGGAGATTAACGCTCTCTGCTATTAAGCTATCAAGTTCGTATGAAAAAGAGAATGAAAAATGATTCCAACAACCCAAAAATGGATAACAGTAGTTGTAATCCAACGGTCAATGAAATTATTTTTACAGACTTCCTGTATGGAACTTTTTCTGTTCTTTTAGATGATGGAAATAAATTTTTGTGATCATTAATACTTTTATTTTAGGTCATTTAAAACAGAAAGAAATCCTGATTTAAAAATGTGTAACATGTTTATACAAAAATAAAACCAGGTGTCAAATTCTTGACAGAATAGCTTCCTAGCTGAAACCAAAAATTGCCAACATATGTACGCACGTACAGACGGGAAAAATTTATTCTCTGTTCCATAAATAAGAAAATTGCATTTCTGCGCATGCGCAACACGATTTTTGCGCATGAGTTTTGTTTGCTTTTATTAAAGGGACTTACCATAGAAATTTCGTTTAAATTGCTTCAGAAACAAGATCGTTGCGTTTTGCACATATGCAACACAATTTTTTGACTTTGACAATTTTTTTTCTCCGTTTTTTGATAATATAACCCGGCCCAATTTTTTGTAGGTTGTACACAGGAAAATAAGGTCTTCCAAATAATAGAATAAAAATTTTAGGTTGCTATTTAAAAAAATTTGATGAAATTTTGAAATGTTCAAAAAACAGCTATCGCAATAGCTACCTAGCACATGCTAGGAAGCTAAAAAGGTCAAAATTAAAAAAAAAACACGTCGAGTGACATTTTAGTAAGTGTTAATAATAGGAATATGCATGAAAAATTGAATTTCTTGAATTAAAAGCCGAATTTAACTATAATAAATGTTAAAATTGACTAAAATTCATTGAAAATTTTTAATTTAAAATAAATGTCTAACGCACTATATTTACCTAAAACAGACATTTTGTGTATTGTAATTAAGGTTTGAAGTTGACACGTGATTGTGACAAAACAGAATACTCAGTACCGAAAAATCAAGGAATATATTAATAGTGTGTTCTCAGTGCATTCATTGCTGAGTATTCTTGGAATGTGCCAGACGAACGTGTATATTCATGGATATTCACATACCTTCTAGCATTTTAAAAGAATATTCTAAGAATATCCAATGTTATCTGGGTATGGTTCCGCGATTCTATGGTTTACCTGATCTAGGAATGCATGGATCGATTTGGATAAAAACGTTGAATATCAATGTTAACTCTGTTTCTTACATCTATGTATTGACTTTGGCTAAGATTTGATTAGTCTTGAAGAAACGAAACTGATAAACGACCATATTCCGAATATCTGCTCAATAAAGGTTGATCAATAAAATCATTCAGGATTTTCTAATATTTTGTACGGTTTATTTTGAGGTAAGATGCAGTGAAGTAATATGACTGCAGCAATAATTAATCGCCATAGATTACCATATAGTATGAATTATTGTTCGATTATAAACTATAATTACAATACAGAATATTATAATGTGCCTCCATGCTGATTTTTCCGATTTTCTTGGTACCTAATATAAAACGTTAAGCTCGCAATATTCGACCACAAAACAGCACGATCGTATGTGAGTTTCTTTAAAAACGACTAATTGCCAACTACACAAAATATTTTAGTCAGGATTGCTGATTTTTTAATACAGTTGAATTTGCCTTAACACTTTTGTCCTGCTTCTCAATCAAAAGTTACAGAGTAGAAACCAATTTCGGAAGAAAATTGAAAGGGCTGTAACTTTTGATCTAGTAGCCCAATCTTGGAACTGTTTGAAATTGTGGATTCTACAGGCCGTATTCTATAAGAAAATGTTTTTTCCCGGTCGATTTCAGACAATTTTTTTTCGGGCCTCAAAAAAAGGCAGTGTATAACCTTCCTTTTTTACCAAAAATCGACTGCACCAAAATTTCTCGGGAAAACACTTTTTCTTATTAATTTTGGTGCGTAGAATCCAAAACAATTCGTACTTTTTCGATCAGACTTCTCAATCAAAAGTTATAGACTAGAAACCAATTTCGAAAGAAAAATCAAAGGGCTGTAACTTTTGAACTAGTAGCCCAATCTCGGAACTGTTTGAAATTATGGAATCTACAGGCCCCATTCTATAAGAAAATTTTTTTCCGGGTCGATCTCAGACAATTTTTTTTCGGGCCTCAAAAAAAGGCAGTGTATAACCTTCCTTTTTCACCAAAAATCGACTGCACCAAAATTTCTTGGGAAAACAATTTTTTTTATTAATTTTGGTGCGTAGAATCCAAAACGATTCGTACTTTTTCGATTAGACTTCTCAATCAAAAGTTACAGACTAGAAAACAATTTCGAAAAAAAATTGAAAGGGCTGTAACTTTTGATCTAGTAGCCCAATCTTGGAACTGTTTGAAAAAGGGGATTCTACAGGCCGCATTCTATATGAAAATGTTTTTTCCCGGTCGATCTAAGACAATTTTTTTTCGGGCCTCAAAAAAAGGCAGTGTATAACCTTCCTTTTTTACCAAAAATCGACTGCACCAAAGAACGTTTGGTTCTACGCACCCAAATTAATAAAAAAATTGTTTCCCAAGAAATTTGTGGTGCCGTCATTTTGTGAAAAAAGGAAGGTTATATACACTGCCTTTTTTGAAGCGCCGAAAATAAATTCGTTCCTGATGATCGACCGGGGAAAAAACATTTCTTTATAGAATTGGCCGTTGAGAATCCACAAATTTCAACAGTTCCTGAGATTGGCTACTAGATCAAAAGTTACAGCCCTTTAAACAATATTTTTTTTTTTTATTGTTCAGTCCTGTAACTTTTTATTGAAAAGTTTAATCGAAAAAGTAAACGACGTTTTGGATTCTACGCCAACCAATAATAAGAAAAAGTGTTTTCCCAG